GCTCCCCACTGTTTGTTGCATGATCCAGTCTAGTCGACCACAATCAGGAATATCATGGGGGATAGTAGGCAACCTTATTTCACTCCTGTCTTCACTTCAAAAGCATCACTGAGCTTCCCATTATGAATCACTTGGCACGTGGAGTCCTCATATAGTTGTTGAATGAGATTGATAAAGGTCTGTAGTACTCCGTAGTATTGAAGCAACTGCCAAATTACTTCTCGGTCGACGCTGTCGAAGGTCTTCTCAAAGTCGATGAAGTTGAGGTAGAGAGTTGACTGCCATTCTATACTCTGTTCTATGATGATGCGTAGCGTAGTGTTTCAATTTGATCCCCACATGGTTTGTTCTTCCTGAAGCCAGACAACCTGTTCCGGTCGCAATTTTGAATCCAGTGCATCTTTTAGTCTCTACAGGATGATGCGGCTTAATATTTTGCTTGCTTGGGGTGGACAGGAGAGTGATTCCGCGCCAGTTCTTGCAAAGACTTAGGTCTCCCTTCTTTGGGAGTTTGACAAGGTAACCCTTCTTCCAATCGCCAGGTACCTTCTCTTCCTTCCACACCTTCTGCAATAGTGGTGTGAGCATGTCTGCTGTTGTCTCTGCGTCTGTTCTCAGTGCTTCTGGTGGAATTCCATCTGATTCTGCTGCTTTCCCACATTTCAGTAGCTTTATGGCGTTCAGGACTTCCATTTTTGTTGGAGGATTTATGTTCACTTGTAATTCAGCGGCTGTAGGTGGTATTTCTGGATGAAGTGCAGGTGGTGGTGATGGTCGATTCAAGAGCTTCTTGAAGTGGTCGGCCCATTGTTTCCTTTGTTTCTCTTCTTTCGTAATTAAATTTCCGTCATCATCTTTTATTGGTTTCGTCTGCTCTGATCTCTTCCCAGATAGCAACCTGGTTATTTGATGCAGTGTTGTCACGTCTCTCTTACCAGCCGGCAGCCTGTTCTCCTTCACTTGCCAGTGTTTCGTAGAAGTGTCTTTTGTCTTTCCGTGCACTCTTCTTCACTTCTTTGTCCAGTGTAGTGTTTTATACATTGTACTCAGTCCCTCTTGTCGTTGAGCATCCTTGCACTGGTTTATCTTCTGCTTCACCATCCTCCTCTCCCCTATCAGCTTCCAGGTATCCATTGAGATCCATTCCTTATCTTCTTTCTTCTCCCTTCCTAATGCGGTTATTCAGGTTTCTTTCCACATAGCTTTCAAAGACTTCCAGTGTTCTTCCACACAGGTTTCTTCGGGGATGTTCCTCGATATCTCCCATTTTGTCTTGATGGCTGCCGTGAAGATTTCCTGTGTAGTTTCATCCTTCAGTTTCCGAGTGTTGTACTTGAACTGTGGTCTATCACCAACTTCCTTGAAGGCTTTTAACTTGATTCGGAAGGTTCCTTGCACTAGATAGTGGTCTGAACCTACATCTGCTCCTCTTCTTGACGTTGTGTCAAGTAGACTGCGTCTCCATTTTCTTGAGATTGAGATAAAGTCGATCTGATTTTTAGTGTGTCCATCTGGTGAAATCCATGTCGCTTTGTGGATATCCTTGTGCTTGAACTCACTGCCTTGCCTCCAATCACCAAATAGTTGAATGCACAGAATTCTGCAAACAATTCTCCATTCTCGTTCATCACCTCACCGAGTGCTTCTCGACCCATGGTTAGTTCTCTTCCTGTGTTGTCCCTCCCAGTTTGGCATTCATGTCGCCCATTAGAATTTTGATATCGCCAACTGAGGTCTTGTCCAGTGTTGATTGAAGTTGTCTGCAGAATTCCTCCTTTTTCTCTTCATCTGCATTATTTGAAGGTGCGTAACGCTGTTTGATTGTGACCTTCCTTCCTTTTGAGTTGAACCTCGCTGTTATGATCCTGGGGGAGATTGGTTCCCACTGCATGAGAGCCTTTGATACTCTTGAGGACATCATGATAGCCACTCCATAACTCAATGTGCTCGTGATTGTCGTCTGGGTGACGCTGTCGGCGTATATTATTGACTCTCCATTTGACAGTTTGGAGAGTCCACTTCCACTCCATCTGCTTTCGCAGATTCCTAGCCTAGCACTTCTATGCTATACCTTCTCATCTCTTTGGCAATCTGGGCAGCCTAACCAGCCAGCCTCAAACATAGTGCGGAAATTCCATGTCTCCATGTTTACTTTCGCTTTCATCGAGAGAAGCGAAGACACATCGGCCAACTGGCTTCCCGAAGGCTTTCACCAACTGGGGTCACCATCAATGGGAGAAACTTAAAGGAAGTAACCTCCTTCACCTATCTAGGAAGCACTGTTTCAACTACAGGCGGGACAGACGAGGATGTCAAAGTCAGAATCGGAAAAGCAAGACAGGCGTTCATTAGCCTGAAACCAGTGTGGAGATCTTCTGCACTCAGCATGAAGAACAACATCCGGATTTTCAACACCAACGTCAAGTCAGTGCTCCTCTATGGTTCAGAGACTTGACGCGTTACGAAAGAGATTTCCAATAAACTACAGACATTCATCAACAGCTACCGCTTATGCTCACTCCATACTGAAGATCAGATTGCCAGAATAGTAAGAATAAGCAACAGGGAACTCTGAAAACGAACCAACCAAAAAGCTATCACACAACAAATATGCAGAAGGAAGTGGAGATGGATTGGGCATGCACTGAGAAGGCCGACTGGGGACATCACGCATCAGGTCCTCGAGTGGAATCCCCATGGGAAGCGACGAGTTGGACGTCCGAGGGTGACATGGAGGAGATCGTGCGAGGAGGAAATGAGAGCTTCTGGGCTGTCGTGGAGCCAGGTTCAAAAGATTTCAGAGAACAGAGTTCACTGGAGACGTGCTACTGAAGCCCTATGTTCCACTAGGAACCCAAGGGACTAATAATAATAATGATAATAATAATAACAATAATAATAATATAATGATCATAAACAGTGTGCAGTGAACGCAGGTGAAATGAAAAAGGCAGAGGCGAAAGGTAGCAGTGCAGACTTACAAAGTCTTATTTAGGAAACTGTGGAGAAAAAAATCAACGGTTAGTGAGACTATAGGGAAGAATGGGTCTGCGACTTATTCGTAAGAAAGACAACTGGAACAACTGCCAGAAGACTTGGACGAACAGTTCAACTAGCCTCCAACCGCTATTTCATTGCCTGCTAACCAGTCGGTTCCTGAATGGAACACTGAGAAATCACCCGCAATACTTGCATAAGTTAAGAAAACTGTAACTTAAAACGAGGAAGGGCAGCAAGATCAAACGAATAAGTTCTTGAAGCACAGAACAACAATGGTAGCTTGTTTCCAATCACCTTCAATGAAGTATTCACTAGTGTATCACAATCAAATATGATACCTTCTGAATGGTCTCAATCACTGATTACCTCAGCCGGAAGTGGATAAGGGTGCACTGACCATCACTTCATCCTCCGATAGGCTTTCGAACACAGACATACTTACGGTAGCCGACACTCGCCATATTTCTTCACCTGATTACAGCGTTTGACTCCGTCACCTAATAATCATAACATGTCACTTCACAGAGATTGACCTACTTCCTGGAGGTCATCTGGTTGACTTGGAATATGCAGACGATATTATCCTGCTGGATAAAGACGCCGATGAAATATAGGTTCTTCGTGATGCGTTGAGCATAAATCTGAGTGTGTTTGGAATGCGTTTCGGACCTGTTAAATGTAAGATGATGCTCTAGGACTGGTCTGCTGCAAGTACTCCAAGTTTAATGATAGGGTGTGAATTGGTGAGATGTGTCAACCACTTTACCTACCTGGGGAGTTGCATCAGCCGACTGAACGGACTGGGCGTTGATGAAATCTCATCTCGAATACAGAAAACCTATTTGGTATTTACCAATTTGCGTCGTTCGTGACAGCTACTGGCGTGATATCCGACTCTCAGTCGATGGACTAGTACTTTCCACAGTTGTCTGTTCTTTCTGTTTGTGATACCGCTAGACATGGCTGTTTACAGAAAAAGATGTGACTGGATTTCAGGTGTCTGTCCAAAAATGTCTTCGCATTACTGCTTGCCTTTCATTGGATTATCATGTGTGCAATGTTGAGGTTAGGCGAAGGATACTAGGCAAGACAGGCTGGATGGTTGAAAAGGTTGTGAACCGTCGCGAACTGAGATTGCTTGGCATGTTTTGCGCATGCCAGGCCGTTACCTATCTCAAAATGCAATTTTAGTCAAAATAGTATGGCGTGAGCAGAGTTCAGGGTGACCAGACCAAGATGTGAAGCCAGTGGGTGAATTCTTTGAATCTTGATCTCTGTCGTATATGAAGGTATAGTTGGTCTGACTGGTGTCCTTGAGATAATCGTAATCAGTGGTTGAGGACTCTTGGTTACATGTTTGAAAATTGGTCATGATGGTGTAGATGTATTCTTCACTTGATATCTTCTAAAGACTGAGTGCTTTCACTAAATCCTATCTTAAAATTATTTTTCCTCCATTGAATTTTTGTCTACTTTGAAATTACTCTTTTTCTGCACGCTTGTTCTATGCATGCTACTGTGAAGGTTAGCGCCGAGAACTAGTTACACTTGCGCGTAAGGTTCAACTTCAATTTTCTCGCTGTGATTTTAGCAAATGTAATAGATTAAATTGAAGCGATATTTTGCTTAAGTTCCAGTTCATTTCGGAAGCAGAATAAAATACTGTGTAATTCTTCGCTATAATCAACATTACATCTTTTATGTTAATATTATTTTTATCTTGTCTTTAGAAACTGGTAATCTACCATGTTAACTGAGCGTACACAGGCTTTTTAAATTTTATCAGATTTCATAAGCACCATATTTGGTATAACACACAGAGTTGCTAGAAGGTATGATGGCGAAATCAGATACTAATTTCAGTACTGTAGCAATGCACTTTTTTTACTACTGCTTCTTGAATGCTTCTGTCGCATTATGTTCATGCGTATGTATATTTGCGCGTATTTGGAATGTTCTTCCCAGTTTCCTAAAGTTATGTGTTTCTATTTTTTTCTTAGACGGCTTACGAAATAGTTGACCCATCTGTTGTTGAAGTTGAATCACGACTGCGTGAAAGAGTACGATGTGTTTTGTAACTGATTTTCGTAATAGAATTTCGGATCACTAACTGGTCGATCATGGTCTGAGGTTCAGCAGTTCGCAGAATCGAATTTCCAAACGGGGCAAGACTGTAACGGTTGGCGTTCTGTCGGTGGAGAGTGTACTCATGAGGTTGTTTTTATTTGCTTTTTATGAGTTGTAACAAGCGTGTGTCATCATCTTGAGGTTTTTCCTTTGTATCTTGGTTCACTTGTTACTTTATAGGATCCAACTCTACTGTTTTACTTCTCAGTCTTCAATACTATAGAAAGTAAATGCCCTCTAGAAAGGCCTATATTTACTATTTGTCTACATACTTGATTTTCGAACATCGTGGCATATATAACCAAGTAGTACCTCTAATTTGCAGCCCATAAACTTACACTTATATTAAGGCATTGTCTCAATTTTAGACTTAATTGTGAATCCTTAGTTGTTTCTTATTTGAACCATTTGTGAACGATGTTAGTCCATCAGTATTAATAACATAAGACGTGTCATTACTGCGTAACAATCCAAGTTGCTATACGTCTTGTATGCACAACAATAAATGGGACAGTTAGACGAAAGAAAACGGAATGAAATTATCTTAGCTTCTTGAAAATTCGCAGAATAATTCAAAACACATTTTAGCGAACGAAAAGTATTCTTTGCTCATTAAAACTTCTTTTGAATTATAATGCAAATAAAAATCAACCCTCAGTTAGGTTGAAAGTAATAACACGCTTGAGGAAACGTGATTGGACGTTTGGGATGTAAATAAGACGAGGATGCATCTGGACCGCTGTGAATAATTCTCAGTCAAATAACCTCAATTCTCCAACTACCAAATTTGCTGTCTTTTGAACTCCTTTTAGAAGCTCACATCTGTCCACAGAACTGACATAAACTGTCGGAGACTTTTGAATTGTTGCTATGTTTTAGTCTACTCAATTTTGACCTTTTTCAACCTAGACCTAATTCAGCTATCACTGAACATCGGGATAGTTGCTGGCTGCGGATTGCGTAAAACGTCCTAGTCACCTGAATCAGCGAACGATAACAACAAGAATAGGGAGTGAGACATCGACTCAGGTGACTATGACATATACGCATATCTAGTGAACTTTTACCTGAACAGAAAATGCTAACTAAATAGGGTCAGTGCTGTAAAAGCAACAAAAATGGGTTACAGAAGCAGTCTCAAAGGTACATTCTAAAGAGCACTTACCATTCCCGTTTTATTTTCATCAGTAACAGAAACAAGAAGGCTGCGACATTGTCTCCACTAGTTTCGATTGTGAGTCATGTCATCTATCGTCTCAAGTCACATTGTTTCATAGTCTCTCGGAACTCATCCCGCGAGCCGTAAGACACCAACGAATGCTGACCCTACATAGCAGCACATCACACACTGACCATTTCTACGCTTCTTCCAGTCAGTCCCAGAGCAACCGAGGAGTTAAGTGTGAGGAACCACTTGTATTCGTAACACGTGTTCAAGCCATCGTGTTTTCACACTGAACACTAGCGATCCTGCTGTGATGCGACACAGGATCGTCGCATATCTTTAAAGAGTCTAGGTTTGATGGGTGGAGTGCAGAAGTGCCCATATCAGTGCATTGTGTACTTGACCTTTTACGGACAGGCCAACGTCACGACGACGTAAAAGGTGACCCAGATTGGCCTATTTCACTCTGACTTTCAGTATACTATTAGAATTACCAGTCACTACTCAGGTACACAAACTTTTCGATAATTTCCAGCAATTCACCACCCACACCAAGGGTGAGTGCATGCGCAGGCGCTTGCTGATTTCGTTAAAGCGGTCGGAACTCAGGCAGTGCAAATCACATACCACATTTATGGACACTTATTACTACCTGATTGAGGGGGACTTAAGTAGCTGGTATGCTGTCATATATAAAAAAGATGTTTGCATATTCAAGGTCGACCAGTCTTTCACGTAGGAACAAGTGTACACCGCGACCTTACGCTTGCTTCGGGGCTTCCCGTGGAATTAATCGATGGCAAAGTCAAGGAGGAATGGTGCAATCGAATAACCTTGTCTCAGTTCATCGTTGGTTCGGAGCAATTGAGATAATTGAAAGTATGTTTAGATTCCATCTGATGTGTTAAACTATAGAGCTTTCAAAATGATATTGAAAAACTGCTAAGGAAGATCGCTATGTAACAGATGACTTCAGAGTACAGTCCTGTCAGATAAATCGAAAGCAGCCCTGATATCAAGAAACACAGCAGCCGTTGGCCAGGAATATGCGTGATGGTGCTCCAGGATATGGTGAGAGATCTAATCTCTACCTTGCAGGTCAGCTTCCGACGTGTTTTGCCCAGCCTACGAAGTATGACAGCAAGCAATATTTAAGATACTGTATGGCAATTGAAGGCAAAATGAAAATCTAATCAGCAACTGGGTGTCGGAGCTCTGTTATGTTGTGACCGAGTGGTGGTTGCGCCCGTGGATATAATAATACTGAGACTCAATAGACACCGCAACTGAATACCTTTACGACTGACCTCCCTCAGTACCTTCTGCTTCACTGAGCTGCGGAGAAACCAGAAGACAAAGACGGCCTGTGACTGCAAGAACAGGGACAACTTTTATTAGGCAAATAAATAACATATATGTATTTACCAAAACTCTCAGAAAATGAAGCCATAAATAAAGCAATCCGATTTCTTGTATGAGGTCGAACTTCTCCAATCAAGTTCTCATGTCAGCGCATGTATAAATCACGACCTAAACATGATTTGATCATGACTTGAAAACAACTCCCCTACTGACTGCCTTTTGTCGCTACGTCCCATGTTGGTAGATCACTGGGCAAGAAACCTGGCGGTCGATGGTTCGAATCCTGTTGCGACCCAGATTTTCATTTCACCTCCAGTCATCATCCAGTATCAAAACAAGTCTGCCAAACTTTGGTTATCTCAGATAGTCAGACTGATAATATTTTAGATGCCACTAGTGGTAGACTGAAAGCCTGGTGATTATCAAATGCATCTCTAGATCCTTTATATAGATGGGCACAACAATGATCTCATTCTCGAATGATATAATATTCTCAGTCTGTCACAACATCTGAATGCAGTAAGTTCCTGGCCTATGGTCTCACCTCTTCGAAATTGTGCTGGGGGTAAGTTTATAGAGTCAGGTGCCTTATGGCACTTAGGTGCTTGGAGTTCCTTACGAACCTCCACCCCATCGGGCTGATGTCAACTGAACACAGAGCACATGACACTGAAGTCGCTGGAGCAATAAGTCAGTTGAATAACATTCCAAAGTGCTCCACTCGGCGTCACAGGCAGTCGGAAAGCTGTTGATTGGCGTAACATCTGCTTCACTGATATCAGCAGCTCAGATGGGCTGTAACGCTTGCTGACTATTGCCACATGCGGCTGCTGTTTTCATCTTACCCACGCCTTTTGACCACACTATGGCGTTTCCTCATAAAATCAGTGTCATCTAACTAAGCTTTCATGTGTTACTGAGATAGCCTGTTCGTATTGAGTTATTCTTTTTCATAGTAGTTATAACTGTCTGTGGTTAGATGTTTGGTTTGCCCCCATCCCTTGCGCATTCTATCGGGTTGAAGTGGAGCAATTTAGTCTGAACAAATAAAAAAATAATAGGTTCTCCTTAATTTTTCATTGGTAAAGCCCTGCTTTGTCCATGAACAAGTTACACTGACTTGGCTTTCTATTTCATTACGTATCTACTGTGAGATTCATTTTTTCTATATTGTTTCTGATCGGTCTCATTAGTTGTGTAATTTGCAATTTTTTAAAACAGTTGGCAAGTCGAACCCAAGACTTCCTTTTAGATCTGTGTTCCCGTCTTATAGAGAAGCCTGTGAATCATGCCGACGCTCAGGTCAAGTTCCATTTCCGATTATAGGATCCAGGGATGCGCCACCAATGGAAGAAATAATATCCAAATACTTTAGTGAATTTCTAAAGAAAAATAATGCAGACAGGCATTCATCGTCATCTATTTATGCAGGCATGTTCTCCTTGTAAGTTTAACATGCATTGAATAGTTGAAATTATTTTTCAATTAGCTTTCCATGCTGGATTTTGATTGGGAAGCATAGATCTCAAGTGAAATGATATGTATTAGGCTAAATCGTGATTTACTATCTGTATCGTTCCCGTATTAAGTGTCACCTCTGCGTAGCCGAATGGAAATAAGGTTTACAGTGATCCATGCTCTTATCTTTATTATGTATTATCTAGTCTATGTGTAAGTACACTAGGGCGAGGACAAGGTTGATTTCTTACTTGAAACTGATGGGATTTCTCACTTCTCTTTACTGTATAGAGAATAATGAGAACCAGTATCTGTTATAGTACTTCCTTAACTAAAAAATAATGGACCCCTAGTTCCGATTATTTAACAGTCCACTGAGTTCCAGCCGTATCCGGTTTATAATTTTTTAGGCACCTTCACTGCCTTACTAAGAGCAAGTTTCATCGAACGTTTAGTGTTGTAGGAATTCATCAGCAGGAAGTTCTTTAACCATTTCTATTAGCACTCATCAGCAAGGTGCATCTTCATGTCTTAAGAAATTCCTTTTCCATGGGAAATTAAAACCTGCAACACCCAACGGGCAAGTACTAGACTTTAGTTTTTAGTTATACAATTTACTAAACACCCCATGTAAGACTATGCACACGAAGTGCGTACTGGTGGTAATTGATGTAGCCGGGAAGTTTTAAGTGTTCGAAACCGACCAAAGTTTGCAAAGTGATCGCCGAGCTAAGTGACACCACACTATACAGTGTTGTGTACTGATAACTAGCACTTAAATATCGAGCTATATATATATCAGCGAAAAATAGGTTCACGAACTGCTGCTGTATAAGCTACATCTATTTTGCGGTTGATATTATGACCTGACCACTCCAGTGAGATTGAAAATGTTAGTTGGATTTCCAATGATGACATTTATGTTAAAATGTTTAAATATTTCGACCACAGCAGTGCCTGGTCACATAACCTCAAATCACCATCCAATTGCTATCAAAGAAAGTTGTTTTAGCATTGAGTTTGCACAATGTTAGTTTCGTATCAAGGAGTCAGCATCTGTTTTCATCGTTTCATTTTACCAGACATTATGTGAATGCTGCAGATCTACTATGCCCTTATTTTGATCACATTAATTAGTTTGAAGAACAATGCAACATGCTTTCACAATTCTTTCATTTTTCGAAAATTTAATAAAGCAGTTTAATTATTAGTGACTTTCCTCTGCGTCTAACAGTTATTAGTAGACTTTTAATATGCTTCTTGAGGTTCTTTTAATTAGTTGTGTCTTCAAAATGCTTATCTTAGCTTCTGTTTGCAGCCTAGTTCATGAAAGTAGGGCTTATGTCTAACAGTAGCGATGAGACATACAATATATGATATAACAGACTTGTAGTTAGTAATTGTTTTCAAGCGTAAACATGTCGTTAATTCCTCGAAGTCAATCGACAGTTTTCAAAAAGACGTACGTATAACAGCTAAGAGAATTTTGCCAGACCAAAGATGTTGTGAGTTAGAAGCTGTGAACATCTTGCGTTAAACAATAGACCCAAAATGTCGTGCCACTTAGCTTAATGGCCATACTATGCACTCTGTTAGTAGACTTTGGTGGATTCAAAAATCAATCGGCCAATGTAACTTGTAAACTTTTGTTTGCTTTACCTTTATATTCTCTTTAAATGAGTGTGAATGTGGTGAATGTAGTCTTTTTTTATGAAACACTCATTTAAAAATTATAATAGTAACCATAAATATCTTCGTTAAGTCTCTTGTGTTTATGCAATTCAAGCCTGATTGTTTTAAGAATAAAAGCTAAGTTCATGAATTATCTATTCCTGACATAGATGCGCAGCATATTTCAACGAAAAACATAACTCATACAAATCATTCAGTCATTATCAGCTTGAGACCTGGCACTACTGCGTAACGGTTCAAGTTGACACAGCTTACATCTATGCATCAGGAGACAAAGCATAAAGGTGAAAGATAGACAAATGGAGGGAAAATTTAATCAAATTTGTAGAAGTTCATTGAAATAGAAAAAGGTAGTAGGGAATAGAAATGTAGTATAACGACTAGGGTAAGCGTGAATGCATCTGCACCACTGAAATCGATCTTAAGCTATATCACCTTTGGGTCTTGAATCACCATCATGTGGATCCCGAACAAGAAACCTACACTTACTTACATGGTATAGGCATTCGAATGTCCGCAATCCTCTCAGCAGCCTTCTGCTCATTCGAGCAGTAAGCACTGAACCATACCCGTTTCATGAGAGCCAATGATTCTACCCTGCTGGCCAAACCTAGGTGGTTGGAGCACATGGTTCGAACCTGCGACCCATCGGTCGAAAATCAATTACCCAGACCAATGAGCCCCACCTCCGGAGTCTTCATAACCTGAATCCATGTTTGACTTTGATTGGCCTTTATCTTCTTCCATCCTTAACCTATTTGATTAAATTAGTAGTGATGGAGCTGTGTTGCAGAACCCAAGCAACACCTGCATGAGGGTGGGTCACTTGACGTTGTATATCTCCTGAATTTAGGTTGCACTGAGCTTCCTCCTTACTAGCAAAACCCATTCTGTCGGGACTGAGGAGTGAGGTATCTTAAAGAACGCCCCCTTTCAAAACCCTGCTTCTTTTAAAGAGAGGTAGCATAGGGTGTTTGGTTGTGAGCAACATAAAATGTGCTTCCGACATAGTGAAATTACAGCAGCATTACTTCTATTCTTCGTGTCATGCAGACCTATTATACCACCGTAGTTCGATATCATCAATGGAGAAGCTTTGTGAAAGCAAAATCTTTCCTGAGAAAATTGCAGTCGGTAGCTCGAAACCACACAGTTATGAGATGATAATTTTTGTAGTCACAAGTGTTGCTTTTGAATTTTGGTATTCAACTGCTTTATAGAAACTGTTCCTAAGACATATATGTAGAGGAACCGAGTGTCGTAATTAAATTGACCTCACCTGATTTGTGCTGTGAATCATCAAAACGAACCTCAAGAGTATCCGGAGACCCAAAGGCTTGCTTTCTTAAATTCACTGGTGTAGGCATAATATTGAGGTGTAGAGTAGAAAGTGAGCAGTCATTTGTGTGACATTTGACTGGATGAATCTGCAAAAATAGGAAGGATCGTAGACCAGCCGATGCCTATTGGTAATCTCTGCCTACGCACCTACCGACTGCAGTTCGGATGATGCAAAGGACGAATTCTAAGAGAAGCCGTCAGTTTCGCTTTTGAACACAAAACGTTCAAATGTAGTCATAATGGCAGGTGACTTTAACGCTCAAGTGAGGAAAGTGAGCTGAGTCGTCAATCGCAAGGCCTATGCCTATGGTAGATGTTTATGGAATCTCATGCTAATGAGCCGACAACGGTGATCGTCGTTTGCGATTTTGTTTTTACAGTCACTTGTTTCTGGACAGCACTAACTTCAAGAATAGGGAGGGACACTATCTCACCTGACGTCCGTTTCCATTAAGCAAATGTTGGGCACATACCTCATTCAAGTGGATTGGTGGAGTATTACCACCGTTTCTGAAATACGTACTTGAACTATGATCATACATTAGTGTGAGCAGGTGTATATTTGCGCCCTACTAATCGCAGAAAACTGAGGACAGTGAAGTATTTTTAGGTGACCATGAAGAAAAAATCCTCACGTCTTGGTTTTAACACCTCACATTCTCCAGATAAGCGAAATCTGAACTAATAAGTACATCAACGTATTTTAAGGAGGAGGTTTAAACTATATCATGCCAACTACTAATAACCCTTAGAGAGCACGTATACTTAACAGCTAAGGATAGCATATTCCTTACTTCAACTTTTTAAGTTACTCCAAAGCTACTTGCGTTTTTACAGACGAGGGAACAATAGCAATTATCGCGAAAACTTATCAAGACAGACTTCGCTTCATTTGCTCACCTACGTACTCGAAAACAGTTCAGAAATTACGCCATATTCACAAAGAAACAAACTTCACCGAATTTATGATCAGTTGCAAACATGCGACTGTAGTGGACCAGTATTTAATACTAATGCAGACTAGCGATAAAATTTGAGCACACAGCCGATAACAACAGCGGCAAAGTGAGGAAGTGTCAACCACTACATCGGATATTCAGCTTGGAAATTATTATTATTTTTCCCTTGGGTTGCTAGTGGAACATATGGCTTAAGTAGCACGCCTCCATTTCACTTTGTTCTCTGAAGTCTTTCGAATCTCGCTCCACGACTGCTCATGAGCCCTCATTTCTTCCTCACATGATCTCCTCCATGTCACCCTCGCCGCGGATGCCCAACTCGTCGTTTCCCATGGGGATTCCACTCGAGGGTCTGGCCTGGCGCATTATGTCTCCAGTAGGCCTTCTCAGTGTATGCCCAATCCACCTCCACTTTCTTCTACTGCATATTTGTTGTGTGATAGCTTCTTGGTTGGTTCGTTTCCAGAGTTCCTTGTTACTTATTCTTTCTGGCCATTTGATCTTCAGTATGGAGTGAGCGTAGGCGGCAGCTGTTGATGAATGTCTGTAGTTTGTTGGAAATGCTTTTCGTAACGCGTCAAGTCTCTGAACCACCACCTAGAAGCACTGACTTGACGTTGGTGTTGAAAATCCGGATCTTGTTCACGCTCTATGCTGAGTGCAGTCGATTTCCACACTGATTTCAGATTAATGGAAGCCTGTCTTGCTGTCTTGCCGATCCTGGTTTTCACATCCTCATCACTGCCGCCGCCTGTGGTTGAAACGACGCTACCTAGGTAGGTGAGAGAGACCACTTCCTCTAGATTTCTCCCGCTTATGGTGATCGGTGCTTGTTGGTGTCGTTGTTGTCTGAGCATCTTCATCACCTCCATCTTCTCTACATTCACCTGAAGGAAGTCCCGTCTTCGCTGCACTGCCTCTTCTGTCAACTTGTTGGTTTTCGCCTGTAGATCTTCGAGTTTGTGCGACAAGCCATTAGACACAAATCATCATC